GGAATTTAACTGCATGATTGTTATAAGTGATTTACATGTCATAGATAAATTGTGGGGTCAATACAGAGGAGATTTAGGGATTATAAAATATTTTTCAATTGTACAGCATTTTGAAGACAAATGGGTTTTAAATTTGACTTTCTTTTTTAGTTTTCATGAAGCTTTTTAATCTCAAGCATCTTAACTCTTTTGAGCTCTCTTTATTCTAAATGAAATAGATTTTAAAAATTAATCATTAAAATGACAGCCATGTTCTTATTGCAAATTTTAGTTATTTTAACTGTGCAATGAACTGCATCAATCTTCCTGCATATGTTCTGAAGCACTGGCTGTTTTGGAGGATAACACTACCACAATACGATTTTAATATATCTTACAATTATGTCTTGCAGATATTCAGTGACGTGAATATTACATCTCTAGTATAGGAATGAAAAATATTTTCATTTTTATTTCTTCTCAAGATTAATATTGGCTTCTTTCCTTTCATTCTTTCGTTTGTACCCTAAGACACAAAGTTATTAGACAGCCAGTTAACTTGAACACAACAAATATAAGGACAGCAAACAGGTAAATGGGCATGCAAAACACTAATTTACACTTGCAAAACAGGTAATTTCACGCACCGGTGGTAGCCTGCACATGCAATTATTCATCTTGTTCATGCATATGCATGGCTTCATCACAATTGCCTTTTTACATATGTGCATATATTTTGCTGGCATAGTTTAGTCAATGATATTTAGTCATTATGATTTGTGTGCATGTTTAAATCCTGCTGTGTTCATTCAGAATAGAATATAGGTTCATGATCCTTTTGCATCAGGTAGCTATATCATATCAGTAAATACTGGTCTGTCAAGAAAAGCAACTTCAACAAACCTTAAGGTTCAGTGCATTCCATACTACTCAATCTCTTTTTTTTCCAGTAGCAAATCTCACTTTCACCAAGCATGCACCTCCATCTTCTTTACACATGTGACTTTCAGTATTTTCAAGGAAAATATATGAAACAAAAGCACAAGGTGTGATGGGGTAACAAATATGGTATTTAAAATATGTTGTACTGCCATTTTCACTATATAACATTATTAAAAAGAAGAGCTACAGTCTAGTTATAATAATTGCAGATTCTTAAAACTCCAGGTGTTGGCATTATATATTGCAAAATGAGAAATGCCAAAGAAGTAATATCAGACCCATTTCAACAAAAATGGTAATTTATAACTTCTCTTATAGTGGAGATTACGCTATTTTTATTCTGACTCCTTCCACATAATAGATTTAAAAAAGCCAGAGGTCTCCCTCTGAAATGTGCCAGAAATACAGTTCAAACTGTGTCACACTCATGTACCCTGTTGATCTGGACCCTGAACTTGATCCAGATAATGAACTCCCCAGCTTGAACTTGGACATGCCTATAGACTTGCCCAGACATTGTGTTGTGTCTGACCCTCATTATGGTCTCCAGGACTGGTTCTAACCTCTACCCACTGACTTAATTTCCCAGATTTTCCTCACACAGATCTCACCATTGTGCATCTTCCTTAATCTGTCTGTCTTAATTTGTCCCCACCTTCCCTGCTCAAGGCTGGGATAATGGGATAGACCCTGGCTACAAGACACACATGGGGAGTCCATATGGTTTGTAACATCCAGACTGCAGGGACAAGCCAGCCTGAGTCTGCATAATTCAGTATTCATGGGCTACTAGCATTTCTGTGCCTGTCTCAAACACCAGGTTAGTGAAAAAACAAAGGTTGAGGGAATGTAACAGGTGTTAAACTCAACAAGAATGACAGCACGGTCCTCAGCTAGAGATACTGTTTTTAGATTAGAAAGATGCTTACCTTATAAAAAAAGAATCAGCTCTACGTTTTACTATGCCTAAATGCAGACACAAGAAGAATACACCGAAAAAGACTTAATGATTGCAGAGATCAGCCCATCCAAAAACTGTGAACCTATAAAGTTTGAATGACACACCAGCTCCTTAAAACATGGTTCTATTTATGGAAACAGCTGTACATTTTTTAATTTGGAATGGGAAACTGGGATTAAGCCCTCTCCCTCTGTTCCCACTAAATTATATTCTTTAACAGCTAGCCACATATTTCAGTTTCCAAACCTCAAGCAATTACTTCTGGGCCATTACAAGAATGGAAGTCCTCTGCTTGAGAAATAACTGCTTTGGAAAAAAATGAAAACTGAAAAAACTAATTGAACGGTTCAAATAATTGTTTCATCAATTTTCAGAGGAAGTAAAAGGCAAATATATTGCCATATTTTGGTTAAACAGCTTCAGATATGCAAAAATGGGTAAAAAATAAAGTTACTCTATAGTGATGATATTGGGTGGGATTTTGAAAGTCATCAAATATTTCCACCATCCAAGAATCATTGTATGCCAATAGAACTTGGGCCCTTCCTTCTTTTCCATGAATGAAAACTGACTAATTGCATTTGAGCTAAAGGAATGTAAATTTAGTGGTTTTGCAGTATTTTAAGGGGGCCTACAAAAGCGCTGGAGAGGGATTATTTATCAGGGAGTGTAGTGACAGGACCAGGGATAATGGTTTTAAATGATGGAGGGTAGATTCTGGTCAGATATTTGGATATTGGATATTGGAAGATAATTTTTACTTTGAGGGTTTGGGGAGCTGTCCCAGAGAAGATATGGATGCCTCATCTCTGTAGACACTCAAGGCCAGGTTGGATGGGGCTTTGAGGAATCAGGTCCAGCAGATGTCTTTGACCGTGGACAAGGGTATTGGAACAAGGTGTTTTTTAATGTCCTTTCCAAGCAAAACCATTCTATGATGAAAACTATGTTCTACTTAAAGCTCATATTCAAAATAATCAGTGTATTTTTAAAATCAGGCCAAATCTGTTTACACCCAATTAAGTTTTATAAAGAACCCAGGTAAAGGCTCTCTAGTTCTTTCTTATTCTACGAGTCCATGAAAAATTGATTAAAAAAATTTGTGTTCCTTAGACTTCTTTTTTTTCCCCCCAGACTGAGCCACACCCAGAAGAACAATTGAAAGAAGAGGGAGAAGAAAAGAAATCCTTGGCTTTAAGCAGTATGCACACTCTAGTCTGCTTGCCCTTGTCTTAACTTTAGCTATAACTAGAAGAAATATTACACCATTAAAAATAGTAACAGAAATTCTTGGTGCCAATCAATATCTGATCTCTTCCTGTATTTGGTGGTGTATAGCATAAAGCAATAAACTAGGCAGATATATATACATTCCAAACACTAATCCCGAGCCCTAACCTTGTTTTATGGTTAGAAAACTCATCAGTAGAACAATAGAGAACATAAGTCACTTACTTCAGCTGACAACAACGTTCTTTCTCTTACAAACCAATATCTTTTGTCATTTATTTTGTCTAGATGGGGCTTTTAATTTTATCTATGTTAGGATTAGGTTTGGTGTTACAGTTATGGATTGGAAATCCAGCACTTCAAATGACCAGGTTGTTCTGGATACTGCCATGACTTCAAAGGTATGGCAAACAAAATATCTTTTGAAATGGAAATGGAAAGTCTTGTGAGAGTAGCTTATTCCAGAGCCCACAGCCCTGAGAAAAAGCTGCTGATGATGCAGACAGTGTTGATTCTTTTCTAATTGGAGTAGGTTCCTTCTGTTGGATTAATGTTAGGGTTTATTTGGAGGCTAACTTTCAGTTTTAGAAACTAGAGCATTAAGATCACTATGTCCTTTCAGTGTCCCCAAGACCTGTAAAATTTTAAAGAGGTCTGGAAACCTAAGGTATCAATGACTAAGCCCCTTTTTACTAACTTAATAATATGAAGGCTTTGCCACAGCCTGTCAGTTTAGTGTTGTTACAGCATGACCTCAAGACTATATATTACATGTTTTTGGGATGTAGTATGAAAATATAAATGAGTTTCAATGCATACAAGTGCACAGATCCAAAACAATCAAAATTAATATAAATATTCTGGAAAAAATAAGGCTAACTGTTGAATACAATTAAATGAGATAGCCTGAGCATTAAAGGTGACCTTGAAATTCACATTTTATGACTTTATCAAACAAACTGGGAATGCAGGGGAAGTTAGAGTTTATATTTTCTGCATCTAAACACAATGTTTCCTTCTCCTTCAGATTAAATGGCAATCATAAGACACTAAGTTATGGAGGAATGACATCTGGCTTCTCGACAGACACCTCAGGCAACTGTGGTAATAGCTTTGGAGATGGCTGTGTATCTGTAATAGAGTTAAGTTTGTTGTCTGCATTGGATTACCCTCTTACTCCCTTAGATGCTTCATCCTACAGCTAATATTGGAATTACTGAACCACTCATAACCCTGATTTATAAGCCTTTTTTTTGTGTTTCTGTCTGCTACTGTTGTGTTTTAGGGTTTTTTTGTGTTTTTTTCTTTTTGCTGTTGTTGTGGTGGTTGTTGTTGTTGTTTGGGCTTTTTGCCCCTCAGAAAGCTGTTAGCATACCTTGAAAAAACTTCTAAAGGAAGGTTTTGTCAATCGGAGAAAAAGGAAAAATAATAATAATTAAAGTTAAAAAGCAATCAAAAATAAATATTTCTTATGAGATGGGTGTCTATGAAAGTATAAGGGGAACCATAGCAGGCAGTATTTCTAACTCTGAGGTGAAATATTCCTGTGTTATCAGGTCAGATCAAAATAGTTGCTGATTTGATGATGAAAATATACTTCCTTTACTTATTTTTTTTTTTTAGGCATATAATAAAATATGTTAAAATCCAATCTATTAAAATACCAGTTAGAAATAAAGTTAGAAATAATTTTGAAACAAATCACAGTTTAGCTCTCTATCTTATATTGTAGCTGATTGATCCATGTGATGTGTAAAACCTAAAAACACTGATTGGATCCATTTATTTCCTGGAGAAAAACTATATGTACATCAGGCAGATCTCCTCAGTGCATGAGAATCTTCTATATGACATATAAGACTACTATTTTCATATTTTCAGCCATCAGATCTGGAGCACTTTAATTTTTCCCTGCTGGTATACTTACAAACTTACGCTTCAAAGATTGTCAGCTGATAAAAAATAATTTAACCCTTTAGGCAACAGTACCGTGTTCTGTGCTGGTTATGAAGTAATTTGCCTTCAGAAGACACCTGAGCTCTGTGGAGACGCAGCACAGCACCTGTAGAGTCAGACAGCAACATATCCAGTGTGATTCCTGATTTCCTGTGGGACACAAGAGCATGAGGGGATATCTGCATGTCTTTCTTTTGATCTTAAAAGCACTACAAAGTTAGAAACCTATCTGCCCTGCGATTCTGTCTTCTATAAATTATGTGACAGCATTATGCTTCATCCACTTTTCTATCTGAACATGAACTGTATTCTGTGGTGGCAGAAATGACACATTATACAACTGGTAATGTGACTTTCATGTCGTCATAGGACCTATACCATCTAGGATATCACCTGCATCAAGAAAATAGCTATCAATGATAGTCAGTCCAGTAATTCAGATGCATTAATGAGACAAATATAAACAATTTCAAGTTCTGACCCTTAGACAGAAAAATTACACATCTTATCTGAAATGTATTGAAGTACAAAGATCCTACCATTTATAGTCTGTGCTTCAGCTGCACTGCCTATGCATCATTTTGCCTCCTTCGGAACTACTAAAATAATGAAAAAAATAAAAAATTAATTATTTGTTTTTCTAACCACTGGGTAGAAATTTCAAAGTTTAAATTTACAAGTAAATTTCTAAGCTAGAAGAAACTCGTTACAAAATTCAAGATACTTAATGTTGAAGATACACATTAGCATTTACCAGAGTCTCAACAATTTGTACACAAATCCCAAAACATAAAAATAATCTTTAATTAAATTTGTGAAAGTTTTGATAATGCTGGAAAATTGTCTTCCTATTTTTTCAAGTCAAAAGAAGCACCATATAGACATTACTGGCAATATGAAATGCCTTTCAGTTATGAGTTATTCTTAGGAAGAATGAAATCTTTTCAAAAGTTGTCAGTCTCCTGCGTCTTCCTCAACACAAACTTCAACCTTATTAAAAAATCAGGGCTGCTAGTAAAGGTGTGAACAGATGTTTTATCTCCACATTTTGTGCATAAATGCAAGTAGTTGGATGTAAATTGATCAAACTGTTGAAACAAATCATTTAAGATTTGTGCAGTGATTAATAATAGATGCCAGTAATCAAATCTCCCTGCCACCAGCACATCTGTTACAGAGAGTTCTGGTTTGCCCTATTATGCAAATGTGCAATAAAACAAATAAATTACTTGATTTAACAGCTGGTTGGAAAACATTATTTTTAGGTGATTTTTTTAATGTATTGTTTTTACCATTGATAGCCACTTGATGTAGGCTAATCCAATTATGCTTTGTAGTGTCACAGAATGGGGGAGGGAATTTACCAAGTCTGCTCAGAAACTGCTGCAGAATTTTAAAGATATTCAGAATTTCTCAGATGCTCATGGCTTCTGAAAGAACAAAGTACACAGGAGAAGAGAGTTTTCCTTGAATTTAATACTCAGAAATACCTTCGTATAATTTGTCTCTTCAATACTGGGAGTGTCACATAAGAAAATTTGTGGAACTTTTGAAAAGACCAACACTTGATCTCAGAAATCTGTTTCTGGACATTTTGGTGGATAGGCTCATGAATTGAAGAGAGGGAAATATCAGCGCAGAAATATCCTTGATTTAAGATATACTTAGGCTACACTATTCAGCTATGGATACTGCAGATTTCAGCACCAGCATTATAGAATCATAGAACCATAGAAGCTGGAAAAGACTTCTAAGATCATCAAGTCCAGCCATTAACCTAACACTGCCAAATCCACCACTAAACTCTGCCCCTAGGTGCCCTGTCTATATGTCTTTTGAATGCTTACAGGAATGGATCAACCAGAGCCTTGGGCACCCTGTTCCAAAGCTTGACAACCCTTTCAGTGAAGACATTTTTTCTAATATACACTCTAACTCTGCCCTGGTGCAACCTGGGGACATTTCCTATTGTTTTATCACTTGTAACTGAGGGAGCTTTCAATTTTTTAAAGCAACATAATTTTCTCCCTTTTTTGTCTCAGGGGTGTATGACAGGTTGTGGAGACTTGTCTTATTTTTTTCTGCTATTCCCCAAGTGTATATTGGAAGAACTAAGATTGTTTTTTCTTCTGTAGGATGAAAGAAAAACAAAAGAAGGGAAAAAGAGAGATAGTAAAATGTCTACCTAAGAAAGAACTTCACTCTGAAAATGTTTGTTCCCTTTATTTTTTTTGCAACCAAATATATTTCTCCCAAAATTTTATATGCTGAATTACACATTTTATGGAGTACTGCTATAAAACCAGACAAACATTAATTTCAAACAAACATCATCTTTCAGCTCCCTGGGTTACCAAATAACCAGCTGTGTCAGCAACATATATTGCTCTAGAGGGACACATTTTAATAAAGTCATCTCAGAACAGAATATGTTGCTTTATAAACCAAGTTCAAAAATAGCCAAACAGATAGATATAGATAGAAACCACCCATTACAGGGAGATGAAGTATAAATATTTTTGCAATTCTCAATGACTACCCAAAAAGTTGCGAAAAAACTTGCATGTCCTTTTATTCTGTATGAAAAGATATAGGTATATGGGAAGCATATAAGAATATGATACACGGTCCTTATTCCATTTTGCTGGAACTAGAAATTCAATCTGTGTAGTACAATGTATCTTTCTATCTGAATGTCAAAGTCTGTCAAGGTTCATGTTTTCTTCTTATTTTTTTCTGTCTTTTTTATATGTGTTGCAGAAAAGACAACTGATTCAGAAGAGATCTTTGAGAGATAGCAATACAATTAGCATAAAGAAAAAATTTAGAATATTGTAAATTATTCACTAAGAAAAATATCTGGACTTATTTGAGTTCCAGTAGATTTCCTTGGATGAGAAACCAAGTTTCAGAAATAGGAGGAATGGAATTCTTCTAACTCCTTGACTTGATTGTCCTGATTTTGGGTAGTCAAAAATCCCAGCAATATTCTTTGTACAGTTCTAAGTGAAAGTCAGGAGTATAAGAAGGGTTAAACATTTTTAAATTATCACTAAGTATGTGTATATTTGTGTCTCCATTTAGTATTTTCAGCATAATGTGTAAATCAATGATACTTCTTTTTATCAAAAGAGGTTGGCAAAGCAAGGTAATAAAATTTCTGCTTGAAAAACACAGAATTGATCATGGTCTCTGTAGAACTATTTAGTGTCAAAAAGTAGGTATCTAGTAGTATTTCAGAAGACTTAATGTATTCAATCACATTGGATTGTGAAAATATGGCACTGACACAAATCAGTCGTGCTCCCTCCTGGAAAGTCAGCTGAAGAGCAAATATCAGATCTTCTAAAATAGTATTAGAATCTTGTGTTACCTGATTTGTTCCCTAGTAATCTCACGCTTGATGCATCATAGAAAACTTCAAATGATTATGTAGTTTCTTTTCTGCATTCTTTCTCCTAGGGACTCATTTTCCAGATTACTGAACTGATTCCATCTTTCAGACAGTCTTTGCAATGAAAAGGATGCTGAGAAAATACCACACAAGCAAATAGAGTTTTAGATTGTTTATGTAAAATTCAATGGATTATCTAGGGAAAAAGTACATTGTCCAGACCTCCTCAATCAACTCCATATATTACTCCTGCCAGCAAATATGATGACAGAATTTATGATGAAAAATTAGTATTTAAAGTTGCAAATGTAACCAATTATGATATCTTGTAATTATTCAGTGAAATTTAAGAAAGTTGTGAGACTTTGAGAGTTTAGTATTGCCTTCCATCTCTCAGTATGTAGATGTGTGAACAAAAAAATTCTTGTAATACCAAACCTTTGGTATAAAAGCAGTTTTGAGCAGAATTTATCAGCATCAATATTCTGAGTACAGATGTGCTTGATCTGCTGTAACAAGGACATTGTTCTCATTGTATTCTAGGACAGGACAATGGAGAGGAAGTTATGTGACCTGAGTGTTCTTAGAATTCTTACAGTTTTGCATCTCTATGGTGGTGTAGAGAGGTAATTTTCAACAGTTTTGGAAGCTTGGACAGTCTTCAAGGGAATCTTATGTCAACCAGAGAGTGACCCAACTTAATAAAAAAAGCAGAGTTGCAATTCCCACATTCCTTTGTAGATGGGGTTTGAAAATCTCACCACTTTCTTCTATAACTAGTTAATAAATATTTAGCAAGAAACATAAGTAATCAGAAGGTTGATGATAATCATTCTTGCCAACACATGAGATGTGTTAAAAACAAAACTTACATTTGCAATTTGGTCAGTTAGCAAGAATTGAATAACAGGAAATATAAAATAAAATCGATATCTTTCTGGAGTTGTACCAAAACAGAATGAAAAAGAATGTGCACTTGTAGTGGCAATGTACAGCAGAAACAATGATATAGGAAGGGGAATGGAAATCAATCACTTGATCAGAGAACAGAATTACTTTGATAGGATCAGTGAAATTACAGGAAATGAATGGATGAACTAAAGTCACAAGAAAAACAAAAGTTGTGTATGTAATGTATGTTAAAGATACCTACTGTGTAACTGGGGAGGGCACTGATATCCTGTGATGATAGAAATTGTAAAGAAATTACATAAAAATGAAATCTTTTTTTAAAAAAAAACCCGATGAAATCTGTAAATCAGAGACAGTTGAAACAGTTCAACTGTCCTCACCAAACCATCCCCCTCCCTGGCCTCAGCTGTTCACAGATGTCACTCAGCTGCTCTACATGTCCTCCATAAAATGCATTAAAAACTCATACGGATTTTTTTTTTCTCTGTTAGCACAGCAGAAATAGAGGTGTTGCCCAGCTAAAACTCTCACGAACGGATCCTCATGAACATGATTTTGTTCACCTTAAATATCCCTTGATTTGTGCACTGTATCTTGCCTTGCTTCCTGTTCTTCAGACCACTCTCCCTCACTGATATCTGCAGGTTTGCAAGGGAAAAGGCAGTAACCATGTCCTCAGAAGCTTTCATTAAAAACTGCAGGGTCAATCTTACCCTACTACCTACGTGCAGATCAGTATATGAAATGTAGTTAGATGGTTGATGCTCTCCTCTCATGGAAGAAATTATCAGGCTCTCAATTTTTCTGTTTTCTATATAAATTCCAGTGACAATTTGAACCACCTATCACTGTAAAACACCCTATTGCAAAACAAGCTGCATTTGGATAGAGAAGCTGTACATCAATCTGATGCTAACTATCACACAGCTTCTTGATGGTGGAGAGGATACCATGTGTGCAGGTCCTCCCCAGCACTTGGCATAACAAAGCACTAGTGGCTGCTAGCCATAACACTAGCAAGACCAAATACCACTCTGTGGTAAGACTGACACAGCCTCTATGAGAATAACCAATATTTTTTCAATGAACTGTACAGCAATCCAACTGGTGGCAGAGACAGTGAAATAGGCTGCCCTCAGGAGAGCAGTGTGTATATTTTGTAACATAATTGCAAGAAGCCAAATAATCCTCTTCAGCACGAGTAATATTATCTATGCAGCTGACATGCACCACTGCCCAAAACAAAACCTATATTTAAGCTGAATCAGATTATCACTGTTTTCCCTGTGCTCTCAGTTGTATATAATTGAAATAAAAATAGCTTTTCTTCAGTTCCATATTGTAGGAGATTGTCTTTGACCAAAATATAATGAGGCCAGTAAGCCTCTTAGAACAAGTCCAAAACTTTCAACTCAGTGCATCTCTTAGAAAATTCAGCTTCTGATATCTTCCTTTAAAGCAAAATATCAAAAATGGCAAGTGCAAGTTCAGAACAATATACAGCAGAATGTAAGCATTGTTCTGCAGAATGCCATTGATTCCAAAATGAGGCATTGGAAGCAGTAGTTAAAAATGCTCTTTTCCTGCTGAGTTCTGGCATCGTTGCACTTGTTTGGGAATGGATAGTTCACACAGAGAAGTTGCACACTATATTGAATGAAAGTTACTGGTGAATTACAGGACGCCTTTGACCGTGTAATGGAAACAATCACTGTTCTATTAGGGACAATCCTAGAAGACATCAAGAAGGCAGTCACTGCTAAGGCAGAAAGCACACAACAGACCAAAGGAGCAAGCTGGTCTTTTATGGAAACATGACCAACCTGGCTGATTGAAACAATGAAAAAAAAAATCTTGTTACACTGGAATAGTTTAGAAAACATCATATAATTGGAGAAGTTAAACTTGTGCTTAGGTAATGATTTGAAAGAATGAGTACTTCTGATATTGCTGAAAACTTTCTGTAGTAGATTACGGTGAAAACAGAAGTGTTTAACCATCTGTCAATAAAAAGTGACAGGTCACAATATAATATGTGGAAATGGACTGCTCCAAGGATAGATTTAGTACAACCTTGAGAATGGTAGAAGTATGACATACTAATAAAAAAGAAAGATGATGCCATTGATCTAATTAGGAGTATAGAACAGCCTAAAACATTAACTCACTTATAGAAAATATTATACACTACTATATCCTGGAGGCACAACACAGAGGGGCATAAGCAATGCAGGAGGTTCCTGGACTGTGTTGATGATAAATTCCCTCTCCAAGTGATAGGGGAGAGGTGTAAGCAGGGAGAGATGTAATTCCAGAACTTGTTCTCACCAACAAGGAGGGACTGGGTGGAGAATGTGAAACACAAAGACAGCTTTGGCTGCAGTACCATGAAATGTTGAACTTTCAGAAAGGAGGATGCACAGCAAATGAATCCTGGAGTTCAGGAGAGCAGGCTTTGTCCTCTTCTGAGATCTGCTTGATTCACAGGAAATGCCTGGAAGAACAGTCCAAAAAACTGGTTGATATTCAAGGATCACCTCCTCTAAGCCCAGAGTGATGCCTCTCAGCAAAGGAGAATTTAGCAAAGATGCTGTGAGGCCTGCATGGATGAGCAAGGAGTTCCTTGTAGAGCTCAAGTAGAAGAAGTCTAGAGAGGGTGGAAACAGGGACAGGTAGCCCAGGAGGAACACAAAGAAATTGCCTGAGCAGCCAGGGAGCAGGTTGGTAAAGCTAAAGCCTAGATAGAATTAACACTGGCCAGGGATGTCAAGGGCAATAAGAAAAGCTTTCATAGGTACCTTGGTTATAAAACAAAGACTAAGGAAAATGTGGACCAGCTCTGGAAGGAAATGGGCAATCTGGATAACTGGGATATTGAGAAGGCTGAGGTTCTTAATGATCTTTTTGCCTTGGTCTTCAATGACAAGCGCTCCAGACACGCCAGTCAAATCACAGATAGTAAGGGGGAATGGCTTTAAACCAAAAGAGCACAGTTTTAGATTAGCTATTAGGAGGAAATTCTTTACTGTGAGAATGATGAGGCACTGCAGCAGGTTGCCCAAAGACCCCATTTCTGGGATGTTCATGACCTCATTGGATGGGGTTCTGTTTTAATGGAAGAATTATTTCACATATATATTTTAATTTTTCTGAAAAGTGACTTTTTTTTGATTGTTGACTGATGCTAATGCCACAGATAATTCTACCACCCAACAACATGTCATGACTAATCTTTAAAATATTGGGTAAATAAATATAAATCAAATAACAACATTATCATCTACTTTAAACCAACATTTGAATTAAAAATTAAAAATTAATGAAGACAGAGGGGATTTAGGGCATGATTTTCATGAAAAGATAATGAGAACTTGTGATTATTTTTACACCTTGAATGACTGTTTTGCTGCCCTTTCAGACAAAGCTATAGTCCAAGTCTTTACAGGATTAATTTACATATTTAAATACTAAAGCAGCTTCACTTGCTCTTTTTTGAAGTATGTCTGAAAAATTAAAAGCCTCATGATATGCATTGAACCTACCACCTGTTTGAACATCAGCCATTTTATCTCAGAAATTTAAATTAAGGACAATAGTAAGAAGTGAGGAATCAAAACCAGAATAAATTGAAAAAAAAATATTCTGTTCTGTCCTCATTTCTTAAGTGACTTCTCATGGCACTAATTCATAAACACAGATTATTTTGTTGTCTTGAAACATTCAAGACATTTCCTACTTTGTGTAAAGGGCAGGAAGAAGCAAACACTGATAGGCAGAGCATAAAATAATATATATTTTATACAGCACAATAAAATTCTGCCTATTGTCATTTCAGTTCTATATATATGGATCAACTTGTGAGCTACAGATTCAGGTTTAGTATATCAGGTACATTGCCTCTGGTGAACTTCAACCCACTGAGTTCTGTGTGTGTGTCTGCACCTTTCCAAAGAAAGCTACAAAGTATTTTCTAAAGGAGGTGTTTTCCTATTGTATGAGGACTTACAGATTTATTTCTCTAAAGCATTTTGCACTGGTTTTGGGTGCTGAATGCATTATTTCATAATGATCTCATTTCACAAGCTTGGCCTTGAAAGAACATGTAATGTCTCTCACCTGTAAAAGGTCCTGTGATTCATTCTGGTTTAGGAATGAAAGAATATTGATCATTCATTAAGAAAATTTAGTGCATGTAATACCATCCTCAAGGTGGAGATAAGGCAATATGCAACGTGGGAACAATAAGACTACTTAATATTCTAATCTTAATCACTTATCTACTGCCTGTATTTGGAACATTGCTCTCAGTGGACCTGTTCTTTTTGTCCTGATCTATCACTCAGGGGTGTTTCATTGTAATTCACTGGAGACTATTTGGTTGCTTTAGACTCCTACTTGAATTTGGTACAGATTAATAAAGTTTTACAACTGAGATTACAGAAAGCATTGTTACTGTTTCATACAAATCTGAAATTGAAGTTAGATTGACAAAGTGACCTTAGTCTCATACACAGTGATTTGCTGAAAAGATAAATGCAACTGCATTTCATTTCAACAACTCCTTCAATGTTGTATTATTCCATTGTCACATCTGTGGTTCAGTTTTTATGTGTTCGTTCTGAACAAGATCCTGTGAATGGAATTAAGGGTCCCATGTCTGGTACTAGAAGGCAGGGATAGAGGAATTAATTTCTTATTTTTCCTTCCCTGGGGGTAGAAATCAGTTTGTAGGTTACTATTCATTGGAACACCCCACAACCTTGATAGTAAACAAAGGAGTTGTAGTCACACTCCATTAGGCAGCAAAAAATCAGATTCACAGAAAAACACTTGTTTGTAAAAGGCACAGGACATTTATGAACAGAACAAATGTTTACAGAAATTTTCAGTGATTGAGCGTTGCCTAACATTTGTGCTCAGTTAAACCAAGATCTCTAATATATACACTATATCTTCTGGCATTTAAATTTTACATCCAACATAACAGTAATTTTCAATTAACTTTTACATTAAAAGCATTAAAATTTACAGGACTTCTGATATTATTTCCTTATTTCTGGATCACTTTTTTTCACAGTTTATTTTCAAATTTTCTAGCATATGTAAATGTCATCAGATCTGACTCACAGTGAATTAAGGCTGATAAAACCTAAATGTGAATAAAGCATGACTTAACAGTCATTATGGAGTTCAGTGAATTCATGAAGAGCTGGGGTGCTTAATTCAAGAATCCATTTGGTATGAGAATATGGTAGACTGTGTAGACATCACTAGAGGGAGTCATGACCACACAAACCAGATGGG